TCAAGCCCCACCTGAACAAGGTCCTGTGCAGCCTGCTGTAGGTGACCCTGCTTCAGCAGGGGGGTTGGACTAGATGACCCACAGAGGTCCCTTCCAACCCCGAACATTCTGTGATTCTGTGGATGGGGCTTTGAGCAACCTGGTCTAATGGAAGGTGTCCCTGCCTGTGGAAGGGGAGTTGGAACTAGATGACCTTTAAGGTCCCTCCCAACCCAAACCATTCTATGATTCTGTGACATTTGCTAACACTACAGGACAAAACCAGAACTGCACCCAGCTCTTCCTTCCATATTTAGTACTTCATAGCCATCAACTACAGGGTTTTTTTTTCTTATTGAATGGTCAGCATTGGGAAGATCTCAGAGAGTGTACATTATTTTCCAATTAGAAAACTCATCTCTTACACAGAAAGTGAGCAAATATAAATTGCAGCTATTAAGAAAACATATTCTGAACAATGCAACCTAAGCTTTTTGCCTATTTTGCATCTGCTTTATACAATCAGATTTAATATTATTTAAAACATCAATTTTTTTTTTCAGGATTCTAAATACATTTCTAACACTGAACAGCTTTGAAACCTGATTTGCTACAGCATTTTAAAAATTGATTCTACAACTGTTCATCTCCAGAGCCTACATCTCGAGATGTTCATATCTGCATTTTTAAACTAGTAACATAGTAGTACATTACTAGCACAGTTTAAGGAACCTACATACAATGCAGTAAACCACACCAGCACCTTGTTTCTACACAAAATGAATTATCTGTCCAGTCTGACGATGTTTGCAATTTATACTGCACATCATGTCAGGTTTCATACAATAAAGCCAAAAATGATAAAATAGCTCCTGTTGATTTTTACTAAGCTGTGTAAACTTCAACAAGAAACTACTTAGATGAGTTCTAATACATTTGAAGATACGTTAAGTGGTCAATAGCATACATAGCCACTTCCTGAAAAACTACCGTAGTCAAACTTTTCTTCTTGAGGCAAAATTATGTATATATAAATATATATCTATATATAAAAAAAATACCTTAAAGAGGAAACAGAAATAGACGTTCAAATCAATTTACTGCCCATTAAGCTCTTTGAATCTCTCTTTTTGTATATCCACTCATGTCTTGCCCTCAGTCTTACAAAATACCTGACAAGGAGGCACTAGTTTTGGTTGTTAAATGAAATATGTAACATTTTATAATAATAATATTTATAATAATAATATAATAAAGTAAAAATTTTGGGGCTTAGTTATTAAAAATAATTATTTTTAATGATGGGTTAAATAAGAAACGTGTACAGAAAGATACCACTGAGTTTACAAATCTAGCAGAGTAAAACATGAAACTACTAATACAACAGAACAAAAAAGAATAGAAAATGGGAGAAAAATACAAGTTGGAGAGAAATGCCAAAGTAAGGAAGTACTCAGATTTTGGAGTTATGAGAAGACACTGAAGGTGAGATGTAAGAACCAGTCAGGATAGGATGGGTAGAAAGAACCAGGAATTATTTGCAAAAAAAGAGAAAATGCTAACATCATAGAAGTAACTGTATCGGGTTTGCGTGGCAAGGTTTTGGTACTGGGGGGGGCTACAGGGGCGGCTTCTGTGAGAAGCTGGAAGAAGTTTCCCCCATGTCCAATGGAGCCAATGCCAGTCGGCTCCCTGACGGCAGCACCGCTGCCCAAGGCCGAGCCCGTCAGTGATCTGGGGTTTCAGTTCACCGATCTCCAAAAAAAAATGCAGCCCGTGGAGCAGACCATGGTGAGGCAGGCTGTGCCCCTGCAGCCCAGGGAGGTCCACGGTGAAGCAGATCTCCACCCGCAGCCCGGGGAGGACCCCACGCCAGAGCCGGGGGATGCCCGAAGGTGGCTGTGACCCCGTGGGCAAATTTCTCCAAGCAAAGAGTGACCATAGGGAGATTAGGGACAAAGCCAAAACTATTGGCTCTGACAAGTTTGTCTCAATGTCCTGCCAGTGGACTGAAGTGACTTGATCAAGACAAGGAAAAAAACCTGTCAACAGAAGTATGACTGATCATCCAGAAAAATGAGAAAGGTACAGATAATATTAAATCTATAATATTCATAGGAACCTTTGGAATGATGTCTAATTAAGTCATAATTACAAGAGTTCCTCAGAGGCACATGTCAAAACCAGTGTTCCCATGTACAGGGTAGACTTGGTTTGGGCAGCTAAGGGAGTGCTGAATTCAATCTCAATAGGCTTCACAGAAAAGCCTGCATCCATATGGAATTCAGAATAGCAAGCTGAGGACAGGTACCTAAAAAAAGAGGTGGAGTCATCCTTTTAAAAGAATGGTTGCTATAGCAAATTTACCTTTGCTTTTCACAGCTATGGGACCAAGAGAAGGAAGCCTGAATCCACTTCTCCCTGTTTTCCAGAAGTGCCCTACATTCTACATTACAAAATACTCTGTAATGAGACACTCTTCATTCATCCTGGGCCCAGGCTGTTAGGCAAAATGAAATGCAGTAATAAGCTAAAGGAGCTTGTCTCCTGAATTTTAGCATGCTGATCTTAGGTATGTTGGCTTTGGTTAAATGGGTACGTCATGCTCACATAATCCTCTATATCAGAAATATGATAAACCAAATCTACTAAACAGGTTCCAGATAAAACAGGAAGACAGGTAGACAAAAAAACATTATGGAAAATATTTCTGCCAAGTTTTGAAAAGGTTGATTTTGAACATCTGGTTTCTCAACAATTCCAGAAAATCCATTTAAGTCATTTTGCTGACAGGATTCTCTTTAGATAGCCAAAGGAAGTTTATAAGACAAATCATAACTATGAAATAATATACGCTGTTTTACTTGTTCATAGTCAAAATATAAACTATTTTTATGAAATAATACTGGTACAACATACTAGGGTAAGAAAGCAAGCACCCGACATAGCAATCACTACATACTCACCTACATCTGTAATGGTGCAGACAACCATAACAAGCCAAAAGATGGACCACAAATATTATCCTTCCAAGAACTGGGACTGTAATCACCCTGAGAACACAGATTACCGCACTTATATTCCCTAATAATAGAAGTTGTCCATAACAGTGTGACTACTTACTGCTCAGAACAAGAAAGAAGGCATCAAGGCGTCACAGAACTAGATAATCTTTTTCTAAAAGGAAAAAAAAAAAACAAACAACAAACCACACACACACACAAACCTCCACTCATTCAGCTAAAGAGCTGTCACTACTTGGAACTAATATTTCTCAGAAAGTCCTTAGCCAAAGGTAAGTGGAGACAGTGTACTCTGATCACTGAAAAAAACCACATCTTTATTCCCAGCTTTCTAAACACCCTCCACCCCTCCCACACATGCACATTTGATACCATTATGAACTAACTACTACCGTATTCCGGAGACTAAATGGGTGAACACACAAAATGATGGAAATCTAGCTTTTTCCTGCATCCTCTAAAACCAGTTTTATTTCTTCTTCTATCTATGGATCTTGCAGATGTCCACAGTGCTGTTTCACTCCTTGTTTTATACTGCTATGACAAGGTGCAGCAAGGCTGGATGAGATGTCATCAACACACGTAGGACACTCCCAAGTTGTATTACTCTTTTATGCTGGTCACTTCCACTTAAATCAGTTTTCTCAGTACCTACTTAAAACCACATCGCACTTGAACAGAAGCTGGCTAAAGGCAACCCCAGGAAAACTGACACAACGTATGCAGGAGCAGATCGTTGATGAACACCTGGCAATGTGGCCTCAGACAGCCTCAGACTGTCAAGACAGTTGTTTTGGACTTCCCAGTCTACTTCATAATCAAATGGCTGTGACGACAACAGCATGCTCGCCTACCTGTGGCTGACCGACATTGTGCTCTTTTCGCTTAATGAAAAAAGGACCAAAGTGATCCATGCTTGCATGGCCTCCACGCTTCTGCAACAAATCTCTAACAATTACATCACACTATCCTGGAAAAAGCTGACAACATCTCCACAAGCACTCTGCTGCTGTGTTCCAGTCTCCGTTCCAGTACTCTCCACTTTCTGCAGAGCTCCTCATTTTAGACAAACCTCAACTCAGGCTTTTGTCCTAACACACAGGATCTCCACTGGGCCCAGGTCTTGCATTCCCCTGCACAACCATGACCTTACACTGTTTCAACAGAAAATGAAACTGTCAAGACAGCGGGAGAAAGCTCAGAGTGCGAATGTAGCAACTTGCTCAGCAACTGAATCCACACCAGAAAATCTCAGAATAAAAGTGGACTTGCCATTTTGAAAATGAAACATAAAATTCATGCTTCTAACTCCATTTCCTCTTGGTCAGCTACACATGCAACACAGATCCACACTTTCAGGGACATAATATACACATGAAATTATTCTTTCTGAATGGAAGGGAGGAAAGATT